TGTTGATCACTGTTATTGATGTTACTGTGAGGTCTGGTCGATGAGTTGCCGAGAGATGACTTATATGAAAGGTGAATTGTATACAGCTGAAAGCATTTGGTGTGTAGTTTTGCGGGGTATAGCCACGACAAAGTAAAGAAGATGACGGGTGACGAAAGTCTTATATACTACGGTTGTCATTCTCTAAGCTCTTGTTGTTAGTTGGATTTTACGACATTAAAAATGTTGCTGAGTTCTTTAATGTTGAAATCTTTTTTTTTTTTTTTAATAATTAAATTTATAACTAAACATCAATGACCTTCAAACATGAACCTGGAGATAAGCAGATTTTGTCTTAATTCATAGAATGAATTCAGTAAATACACAAAAATAGAAAGCGACATACGACAAGGATGCGTCTTCTCGCCGGACTTACTCAATCTTTATAGTGAAACAATCCTTAGAATGCTTGAAGGGATTCATTAGTGGCGGCCACAAATTTAACAACATTAAATATACAGACGGCGTGTATAATCGAGTCTATAGGTAAACTTTGGACAAACATTTACCCGAGTCTATACTTAACCTTGGGTGGATGTATACTCGAGTTTATAGGTAAAGCTTGGACAAGTTCATACTCGGGACTGTAGATTAACCTTGGACGGATATATACTCGAGTCTATAGGTGGATGTATACTGAGTTTATAGATAAAGCTTGGACAAGTTCATACTGGGACTGTAGGTTAACCTTGGACGGATATATACTCGAGTCTATAGGTGGATGTATACTCGAGTTTATAGATAAAGCTTGGACAAGTTCATACTCGGGACTGTAGGTTAACCTTGGACGGATATATACTCGAGTCTATAGGTGGATGTATACTCGAGTTTATAGGTAAAGCTTGGACAAGTTCATACTCGGGACTGTAGGTTAACCTTGGACGGATATATACTCGAGTCTATAGGTGGATGTATACTCGAGTTTATAGGTAAAGCTTGGACAAGTTCATACTCGGGACTGTAGGTTAACCATGGAAGGATATATACTCGAGTCTATAGGTAAACCTTGGGCGGATGAATACTCGAGTCTGTAGTTAAACCATGGCCACATTTATACTGTAGTCTAACATTGGACGGATGTATACTCGAGTCTGTTGGTAATCCTTGGACGAATTTATACACGAGTCTGCAAGTAAACATTTGACGCATGTTTACTCGCCTCTATAGGCAAACCTTGAACGGTTGTAAATTAACCTTGGAAGGATGTATACTGAGTCTATAGTTAAGCCTTGGGCAAATGTATACTCGAGTCTATGGGTAAACGTTGGATAAATTTATACTCGAGTCTGCAAATTAACTATGGACTGATGTATACTCGAGTCTGTTCGTAAACCTTGGGCGGATGTATACGCGAGTCTATAGGTAAAGCTTGGACAAATTTATACTCGAGTCTGTAAGTTAACTGTGGACGGATGTATACTTGAGTCCGTAGGTGAACCTTGTAGAGCTTTATAAATTGAGTCTATTGGTAAACCATGGACGACTTTATACATTAATTTATCGGTAAACCTAGAATGGATTCTGATATAATGTAATATGCATATACCTGTGTTCCTCCTAACTGGAATATGATTGTCTGGTGTCTGTCATAAATACCGAGGGGCGTGTAGGAGAGTAAAGAGCCTTAGTCTGAGAGACTATAGGTAAATATGGGTTGCATTGATATTTGAATCTTTAGGGAAACATTGCTTGGGTTTATACTTGAGTTTATATGTAAATATTGATCAAGTTTTCACTTGAGTCCGTAAGCATCTACCTGGATGATGGCTGTTTGGGGTGGGTGAATCAGTGTGCTCTAAGCTACGTCGACGGGACAACATCTACTCGATGCTTTTTTTTTAAATTGTTTTTTTTTTACGGCTTATTATATTTTTGCAAGTTATTTAAAGCCTGAAAATATTTTTAGATTCTAAGAATGTTTTTGGGGTAATAATGATTTGTTATTGATACACGTTCTACTAATTAACCTATACCTGTGAAGATAAAAGGCAGTTTCATCCATTTCCCAGGTGTATTTGCGCGTAAGTGTATATAAAAGAACCCGAATGGAATTGGAACTTGGCCCTCCGATTTCCAATTTCGAGCCGTTATCCATTGAGTTTTAGAACCACGCGCGAACGTGCACTGTTATAGTTGTTTTAGAAAGTAAAATTTATCCGTTGTAGTTATGGGTGTTTTTGCAAAACAAGCATTTCAATATAAGAGAAAAATATCACTATAACAATGGGATGTGGATTTTATCGAAGATGATCTTAGGAAAGGTCGAAAGTACTTGGGATAGAAAAAACTACGGCACCTTCCTCTTTGAATTTCATTTTAACATCAGGAAACTGAGTTTACACCTGGGAAGAATCAGTATAAAAATAAGTAGAGTGAAAGTGAGAGTAAAAACTGGATATGGAGGGAATGAAGAAAGGATAAAAGATGAACGGGGTCCAAAACAACAGAAGATGGCGACTGACGTTGAGTTTAAATTCTTGAAGATCAATCAGGGAAGCAATAATTATCAGGGAAGCAAGTAAGAGGTGGTAAAACCACTGTCGGGAAGTGCGAAAAAATATGTCTATATTATTCAATGAAACATGTTTGAATAAAGATATGCTGCCAAAAGACACACACACACACACACACACACATATATATATATATATATATATATATATATATATATATATATATATATATAAATGAACATTGAAGTCAACATTCAGAGGCGACAGGCTGTTTCATGTTAGACGCAATCGTCAGGCTGCGTCTAGCATGAAACAGCCTGTCGCGTTTGAGTGTTGACTTCAATGTTCACTTTTATATTTACATACGCTCTATCTCTGATATTGAGCACTTTATCCCATAACTATAGCACATCTTAAGACTATATTTCTTCATATATATATATATATATATATATATATATATATATATATATATATATATAGCCCTGTATCCTGAGTGCCTATTGGGATTTAAGCTCAAACTAGGTTTGGTTTGGTTTGGTTTGGTTTGGTTTATCACCCTCAATGGGTTATTTAATGCCGATAAAAAATTTATTGCTGGTAATATTTTTTTTCTAAAAATGTATTGCTGGTAATATGTTTTTCTTCAAAAATCTATTTCTGGGAATATTTTTCTTTCAAAAATATATAGCTGGTAATATGTTTTCCAAAAAATATATAGCTGGCAATACTTTTTCCAAAAATGTAATGCTGGTAATATTTTTTTAAAAAATGTATAGCTATTTGTATTGCTGGTAATAATTTTTCCTTCAAAAAATTATTGCTGGTAATAACTTTTTACAAAGTATTTCTGGTATTAAAACTTATTTTTACACTTTCATAGTATTTGACCCAAGTTTGGGTGTTAACTATTTGTCCATAGCTGGGACCCTAACAGGTGCTACCATCCCGGGTCAGGGTGGACTTGGGAACACCAGCAATTAAGAAATGGTTCCACGATTCTCATAACCCCTCGATCAGAAGTCTTGCTGTTGGACGTAGCTTATCGTCTTACCCAGGACGCGGACGTTGCTCATCGTCTTACCAAGGACGCGGATGTAGTTTATCGTCATACCCAGGACACGGCTCAAGCCAGGCTTTAAGTGGAACTCGTACATACTTACAGATGACTTATCGCTAAAGATGCTTGAAAAAGGGTTGGTTCAAAATACCGCTCCTGTAAGTAGCTGACTCCTCTTGATATTCCCTGCCTTTATAAGGTGCAGATAATGCCGAAAATGGTGTATCTATGTCATATGTCGTATTTCCCCTCGAGCAGCTTCTTCCCATAGAGAAATAGAGAATTCTATATTTTAAAGACTATTAAAAGAGCTTTTTTAAAATTAAAATAGCATTTTTTTGATTTAGTTATCCATTAAAGCTTTGTTTCACGCTTACCGATTTTTCAAAATGGGTATTTGTTTAATTTGAATGCTCCGAGATGTAATGTCTCTTTTTGTTTTTTCTAAACAAAAATAAATAAAAAAAACATGAAAAGAACAATAGATCATATGCAGTGGGTAGTATTGGGTATCCGCAGCATTTTTATGTTTGTTTTCATCGATGATATTTTCATATTTTATAAGCATAATGTAATAAGAAAATTTATTTAAATAAGACCGCTCACGTTTTGACAGCATCAATAAACTAGCGTTCTAATGTTAAATGTACAAGGAGAAGAATTTTTTTAAGAGCTATCCGAATACAATATACCCATCATATTATACGTATGGATGAAATGCCGAGAGGGAAAAATCCGATAAGAAATCAACCTGGAATACAGGGAAAACTAGTTGTAAGGAAACTGAACTATTTATATAACACACACAAAAATAAATGAATAAAAGCGTTTTAAGCAAAGTTAAAAAAAAAAAATGAAAAAAGATCGACGCCAGTGAATGATCTATCAGACAGGATTGATAACTCTCGCTCTACGACAAATGCTCCATGATTATATAAGGATTTACGTGCTTACATATATACAAAAAAAAAAAAAAAAAAGGCAAAGAATGTTACATTCCGACGTATTTATGTGTGTATATGTGAGCGTTTACATGCGTGTGTTTTTAATAATGTGTACACTTGGTTGCTTCCGGTCGGTTTGCGCAGATGGAGCCACAGACTGACTATTCTGACAGTAATCAAGTATCCCAGAATGCAACTGAAGTAGGTTTTGTTACTGGGCAAACAATAGTCATGCGCTTTTTCGTTCAATGGACGAGAGATGTTCTACTTTAGAAAATATGACTTCTTTATCTATTGATTCCTCCTTCCTTTTTTTTTTTTTATACCACCCACTTTTTTATGCTCCCCGCTTTTTTTTTTCTTATTTGTTTCTGTTCTTTTCTTCTTCTCTTCTTTGTAGCTGAGATGAAACAACGTAAGTGTTGTCTCGGCTCCATTAAACGATCAATGTTATTTTGTCGTTTTAGATAATCGTCAGTGTAGATCAGCACCTTACACATGTAGCTATATAAGAATAGATAAATAGATATGAACATAAAGAGATAGATGAATATGAAGAAAAAAAGATAGATAAATATGAAGAGAAACAGATAGATAAATATGAAAGTGATAGATGGATATGAACAGAAAAAGATAGATAGATAGATAGATAGATAGATAGATAGATAGATATGAACAGAAAGAGATAGATGAATATGAACAGAAAAAAGGTAGATAGATAGATATGAACAGAAAGAGATAGATAGATAGACATGAACAGAAAGGGATAGATGGATATGAACAGAAAGTGATAGATAGATGGATATGAACAGAAAAAGATAGATAGATAGATAGATATGAACAGAAAGAGATAAATAGATAGATAGATATGAACAGAAAGAGATAGATAGATAGATACATAGATAGATAGATATGAATAGAAAGAGATAGATAGATGGATATGAACAGAAAGAGATAGATAGATAGATAGATAGATAGATAGATATGAACAGAAAGAGATAGATAGATAGATATGAACAGAAAGAGATAGATAGATAGATAGATAGATAGATAGATAGATAGATATGGATAAAATGACATAGGCCAAATTTCAATCAGGTTGAATGTGTTGTGCTAACCGTCTAAATTTAAAAATTCTACCCGTTTCGAAATTCAGCATTTAAATTCAAGGCCTTTATCTGGGTTCGAATACCGGCTATCGTTGACAAATACGCAGCTATTTCTGTCTCTCACACGGGTACAAACTTTATGCATGTGAGACAAATACATATTCAATTGTGCTTATATTACTGGTTTAAATTTCTCGAGTACATAATGAGGGAAGAAAGCTTGGCAAATCTAGCACTCACATGGCATACTGAAGGCAAGAGAAATGGGGGAAAACAACACAAAAGCTATCCGACCAGCTCGATGGAGTAAATGGATGGCGGAATATGTTTTAGGAGAGATAATAAAAAAACAAAATTTACAAAGATCTTCAAAGGTTAGGAAATTGTAGAGAGCCGTGATCACCAATGTCCGGAAGTGGCATGGCACATAGAAGAAGTGTGTATCAAAAGTAATCTCGTTTTTTTTTTCATTGACCATAACTCTAAAGCTTATTTCATGTACACATCTAAAGATCATATATAGCCCCACTATATTATTCTTGGCAGAGAGGGCAACACGCCGAAAAAAAGTTCGCTGGTGAACAGTCCCCTAGAACCGAGCAAGCCAGAGTGGCTTGCATCTGGTGAATAGGAAAATAAGGGTCTTACCTCAACGTGAGGCATGTGGCATCGGCAAGTTTGCTCCTTGAAAATGGCATTACTCTCCCATCTAGCCATTCTAGCAGTGTGTGCAGTAATAAGGGTTTTTGTACAGTTTGGCATGCTTCGACCAATAGCAAGTTGTGTGCTGATTGGTCGAACTGGAGGTGGCTATTTACCTGATTAACTGAGAATAAAAGCGAAGAACGCTGATTGATTGGTCGACCGCGGTGTTGGCCTGATAAAAGAGGGCTGGAGCAGTGAGAAGAGGAAGACAGATTTACGTTTTGAAGTGTTCAGAAAGCAAGAATGGCGAATTGAACCAGCGGTATCTTGAATTGTACAAACGACGTCTTAGTAATGGAGACTCATTTAAGCTACAGAAGCCCAATATGCCTATCACGACTGATGAGGGTATATTAGGTACATGCATCACAGTCAAATATACGAAATATGGTGGTAGGTTTTGATAAAAGTAAAGCATAACTTTGCAGGTGAAGCACAATTAGAAATACATTCAGGTCGAGTAAATTAGTCTGTTCAGATGGTCTCCGATGGAGCATGTATTGCGATGTAACTCCTTAGTCGCGTTGGCTGTCTCATTCAAAATTACAAAATTACAAAAAAAAAAAAAAGCCTTCTCAATCCACAGATATAATGCTCTCTACTATTTCTGTCCATGGACGGAGATAGGATATGTACTAGCACCGAGGAGCCATGCCAAAATGGTTATGGTCAGGCAACTGACAAGCTTATCTGTGGTACACAACGGGATATTTACTGTAACTCGTCTTATTTCATCAATACAAAGAAAAAAACAACAAAAAAAAAACATGTACATGCTAACGCTTCTAATTAATTGAGGCTTACGGCCACAGTACGTCGAAACACTGGTTCCCGTATGACCAACGAAGTTAAGCAATATCGAGCCTAGTCAGTAACTAGACGGGTGACCACTTAGTAATACCAGGTGCTGTAAGCTTGGATGTGCAGGCTGTATAATAGATAATGGCTCGGAATTGCTAATCAGAGAGCCACCTTTCAATTTCCGTTTGGGTTTGTTATATTCACTGACGCGTAAATACCCTTGGGAAAGGTATGAATACACCTCTTCTCCTCCCAGCTATGGGTTAATTAGTAAGACATGTATCACTAAACCATTATTATCTCAAAAAATTCTTACAATCTAAAGATACATTCTGGCTTTAAATAAGCAGAAAAGAGATGACTAGTTATAAAAAATGAATCAATTAATCAACTAATGAAGCCAGGAGAGCCATTTCTTGTGTGGTATCAATGTAGTTATTATTTTCGTCTTCTCAAGCAGATCTTAAGCCGTAATTTAACGATCAAGTGGGTGTCATAACAAATGGCTAAGGTCTCTGATTTTTTTTTCATTCTCTACATCAATAAAACCTTTCTTACAATTCTGGTTGTTCCAAGAATTGCTGCTTTTAGAAGCACTTTAGTTCGAATCGCAGTCCAAATTTTGCGCAGCCATTTTTGGATTTGGTCTGTCACAGTTCTAAGAGCGCCGACAACAACAGAAACAATAACTACTGTCTTAATCCTCACCATAAACATGCTATCATATTTTTCAAATCTTGGTACCGTTCTTCTTTCTCTGTTTTTTTCATCAACGACCCTTATGTACTGCTATATCGACGATCCAACTCTTTGTTTTCCTTGGCGATTTTGGTGTTCGTATTTTGTTATAAAAGTTGGGTATCCAGGGATTGTCAGAACTTTCAATTGGAAGCACTGATATCTTCGGACTCGCAGAGCAATAATAATAATATTTTTTTTTTGTCAGTGGAAAGTGTCATGATGCCATTTCTAACCTTACGTCCCTGGGCGGGACCCGGAAAGAAATGTGTAAACGCCAGAAATCAAAGAAAATAATAATAACAATAATATACGACGAGGAATCTTTCAAGGAGACTTTCCTTTCACTCCTGTTTTTTATGTCTTTAATTCTCTTTTCGCATGAATTAAACAATATTAGCTACTAAATAAGAATGTACTCAATCACCTACTCTACATGGATGATCTCAAGTTCTTTGCCAAGGACGACAATGAGTTGAAGGGTCTCCTCAATATTGTAAAATGTTTCAGTGACGACATAGGTATGGATTTCGGATTAAGTAAATGCGAAAAAGTAGCATTCAAGAAAGGGAGAATTACAGAAACACACTCAATAGATTTGGATTTTGTCACAAATATTAGGGAACTGGAATAAAAAGAAGCCTATAGGTAACTAGAAATTGGCGAAGGAGATAGAATACAGCATACCTAAATGACAGAGAAGGTAAAAAAAGCAGTACGACAGGCGTCTGCGTCTGGTACTGAACACCGAGTTGAATTCAAAAAACAGAATATCAGCCATAAACACTTTGTCTGTCCCTGTGGTTAAATAGAGTTTCAACATCCTTAACCATAGCTAACATTAAGCGAATGGAAGCTAAAACGAGAAAGCTTCTCACTTGCTACCGCATGCATCATCCCAAAGCTGATGTTGATCATCTGTACGTGTCCAGATCCGAAGGAGGCAGAGGATTAGTTCAACTAGAATTGTCTTATGAAACTACAACAATAGGCTTTCAAAGATACCTGAAAATTATAGAAGACAGGGTGATGATCTGTATCAAAGAACACGAAAGAAGTAAGAAACTTCATTTAGTAATAAAGGAAGCCAATAAATTCAAAATGGAGTTTCAAACGGTTGAAGAAATACAAGTAAAGCATAATACACCGAGCTGCAAAATACTTAAAAATGAAAGCAAAAACAAATGCAACCGACCAGATACAGAAATGATGGCAAGATAAACATCTTCACAGTCATTACACTGCCCGTACCAAACAAGCTGATGTAGACAAACCCTGTACCCACCAGTGGCTGCGTAGTGTCGAGTTAAAAGCTGAAACTGAAGGTTTTATTCTTGCTGTACAGGGCCAATGCATGCAAACTAGAAATTACCATGCAAAATACTGAAAAATTGTGTTAGCCTAAAATGCAGATTCTGTAATAAATATCCAGAAACAACTGACCATCTCTTATCAGGCTACGCGGTATATGCACCCACTGAATATAAAATTCAGCATAACTGTGGACCAATATCCTCACTGGAAAATTTTCCAACTTTCACGGAAAGAAAACTGCAAGAAATTAGTATGAACACCACCCAGACGCGGTTACGGAAATAGGACCTGTAACAATTTTATAGGACTTCACAATACAAATCAAAGCTAATCGCCCTGACATCGTCATTAGAGACCGCAAAGCCAAAATGTGCCTCCTTATTGACATGGAAGTCCCTGCAGACTACAATGTATCTTTGAAGATTTTCAGAAAGCTATCAAAATACAAGGACCTTGAAATTGAAATCTCAAAAATATGGCACATCAATAATTCTAGTTGTGGTTGGATTCCTTAGATTGACTGAAAAAAATTCCAATAGATTCATTGAAGGAATTCCTGGTAGCTTATGCCTTAAAGAATTATAAGAAAAAAAATTTCACAAGTACAGCCCACACCTGACGAAGTGCATTATAAAATATGTGTGATTTTTTTTTTCAAAACTGGAAATGTAATGATGCCATTTCTAACCTTAGGTCTCTGGACGGAACCCGGAAAGAGCATTCAGCAGAAATCAAAGGAAATAAAATAATAATAACAAGCAAATAAATTGTAATGTGTAGTAAGGAGGGGGGAATGTAAACCACATTATTTGGAATACTTGCATAGAAAAAATACAAGCGCCAGTATAATCAAGTGGCCTCTCATCTGCATTGTTTCCCATGTAGGAAGTATGAACTTGAAGTCGATGCGAAATCGTATTACCAGAATCTATAGAAGATGATCGAAAACGACCAAGTCGAGATCTTGTGGGATTTGAACATCCAAACGGATCGCGTACTTGAGGTTTCAAAACCAGACGTCACTATCGTTGACCAAGAAACAAGAAAATGTCTTCTCATCGATGTGGCTATTCCTGTTGACCATAATATCAAGCCCCCCCTCAAAAAAAAGAATGGGGTTAAAGAATGTACCACCCTTCGGATTCGAAGTTGCCAGAATCTGGGGCGTCTAGAATATAATTGTCTCAGTTAGCATTAGGGCGTAGGGGTTCATACCCTCAATAGCCTACAATCACATTACTTAGGAAGTCTTCGTTGCTTGACATTGCAAATATTATGCGAAACCCGCTCTATTTGAGGACGTACGATTGGTTCATTGGTCGATTTTGTTTAGCGGCATATCAACTTCTATCAATGATTTAATACCGAAATCTAAATATTTTGAACACAATTTCATGGCTTCAACTAAATATATTTTGAACGCAATCGTATGCCTTCAACAGCAGATAAAATATCATGTTGGTCATTTTATTATAAATATGAATTGTGGTTTGTTGATTTTCTTTAGCGGCAAATCAACCTTTACGGATTATTTAAGACCAAAATCTAAATATTTTGAACTCAATTTCATGGTTTCCACTAAATAAATTATGAACGCAATTGTCTGCCTTCACCTACAAATAAAAAGTATCGTTGGTCATTTTATTATAAATATGTATTGTTCATTGGTTGATTTTGCTATAAAATTTATTGTTGGCAATTCTACTATAAATATGTATTGTTGGCAATTTTTATATAAAAATTTATTGCCGGTATTTTTACTATAAAAATTTATTTTTATACTTTCATGGTGTTTTGCTTTTGTTTGGGCGTTCACTCTTTGTCCATAGCTGGGACACTAACAGGTGTTACCACCCCAGATCTGGGTGAACCTGGGAGCAACAGCAAATAAGAGGCGGTTCCACTCTCCACTATCCCGATCAGAGACCTCGCTGCCGAATGTAGTTGATCGTCATACCCAGGACTAGAGGTCGTACGATTTGATGGAGAATGCTTATAATGAAAGATCACGGGTTGTCAAGGAAAACCGAGCCAAAGAAGAAGATGAAGAAGAAGATAATAATAATAATAATAATTGTCATGGGTTCTTACCTATAACTACAGAATGAACTCTTCCTAACACTATGTATACTACGCCTCTCAAGAGGGAGGGACGAATCAAGCCGAGCTTCTCGACTTGACGGTCGAACTCTCTGCTTTTGAGCAGAAAGGAACCCGGACGAGGTTCCGCCGAAGGGCAGAATCTCGTTCGGGGAAAATGACCTACCCGATCTCGTTTTTGCGAGTTGTACGGGCATTTTGTGGCTGAGCCTACGGGCTCAGGAAACCCACGATAAACTCGGCCTTGTGCCACATGCAACCCTCGTGGGGGGTGGCTAGATACCGAATCAAGCCGAGCTTCTCGGCTTGACGGTCGAACTCTCTGCCTCTGAGCAGAGAGGAACCCGGACGAGGCTCCGCGGAAGGGCAGAGTCTTGTTCGGGGAGGTTGACCAACCCGATCCCGTTTATAAGGGTTCTAGGGGTATTTTTTGACCGAGCCTACGGGCTCGGGAAACCCACGTTAAACTCGACCTTGTGCCACATGCATCCCTCGTGGATGGGTGGCTAGATATCGAATCGAGTCGAGCCGATAGTAGTTAACTCCAAACCAGACTGACAGTCATACTAACACCTTCCACATCTTGTATTATTATTTCGTGTAAATATACCTTCGTTATTTCTACTCTTGTGTTCGTGTTGTTTTTCCTTGGTCCTAACCTGGACCATAACAACAACAATAATAATAATAATAATCTGCAACTATTACGGGACGGAAACTGGTATGAATATCCCCAGACCCAGTTATAGAGATCAAACCTGTGAACAATACACATAACTAGAACAATCAAAGCTAATGGCGAAGACATCATGATTAAAGACCTCAAGAACAGAATGTGTTTTCTTATGGGCATGCCAGATTGTAATGTATCTTTGAAGATATTCCAAAAATCTATCAAAATACAAGGATCTTGAAGTGGAAATCTTAAAAATGTGACACATGAGAACATCAATGATTTTAG